TTTAACAAACGATTCAAACTATCCCAAGTATTTCGGCGATATCGTAAAGAATGCTATTGAATTTCCCATGGCCTATTATAAAGAGGCGATTACTTATATGTCGCGCAACATTTATCATATTATAGTTCCGAGCATCGAATAATTCATTTCGTAAAACTTGAATAATTCCGCAAATTTCATTTACTTCTTAGCATAATTTTTTTTCTTCCACCAATTACGCTGATATATTTTCCCTTGCATTTCAATTATTCACTTCGTTCTAACAATCTCCCTCTCGGGACAAGCCGATAATTTGTCCGACCATGCATTTACCGTTCCCTATTTAAATAATTAACATGTCCAATTCCAACCGTTGCTATACCCAAGCTAAAGAACGTAAACTCAGAAGCAAGAAGTAAATTAAATCTTCCACGGTTAAATAAGAGAGAGAGAGAGAGAGAGAGAGAGAGAGAGAGAGAAAGAGAGAGAGAGAAAGAAAAAGTGGGAGATCTTATTCCTTCCACGTACAAAGCTCTAAAAATCCCCAAGGGGGTATCCTTTACGAAGATGGCTGTTCTCGAGACTATTTACCCTCCATCTCGACACGAAACTTTATTAATGGAAAACGCGTTCGAAAACGAATTAATGGCAAGATTGAAGCTAATTACGATGACGAACGTCTCGGTGATCTTCGCGGAGAAATATGATAAATCGCGCACGGATGACGTGGACGCGGAAAAATCAAGATAATCGTGGCAAAGTGCGCGATCGTAAATTCCATGCTGACCAGATTTATCGATTCTTCCGTGCGGGCGGATAAGGAGGAATTAATTTCCCGTAGACACCAATTTTTCAGGTTGCGACCTTAATAACGTCCCCTCTTCTGCCGCCTTTTTAAATTCTCCCTCGTCTGTTTCCTCATTTCTCCTTCTATACATCGTGCCGAGATTCCTTCAGGTGAAAAATCTCCTCGTTGAAACGTGGGCGGACGTTAAGTAAATGTCACTGTTTTTTATTAGTGGATTTTAAATTAGCCCGCTTCCAAGAGGGTTGAAGATAGAAAATTTAGGAAATGAAGATTGGTTTTGTAGTTGATTTTTCAGTATGAGAAATTTATTTTTGGATGTATTGTATTAGAGGAATTTTTAATATAATTCTTTTATTGCACGTGCGGTATCATTGGAAATCGATGAAAGAAAAAGAAATGAACAAAATCGCTAAGAACACGCATCAAAATAAGTGAACCTATAAGAGAATTAATATCGATTACAATATGAATTCGAACTCGAATGTAAAATTATCTTTGAGATAAATTATCAATGATTAAAACTATTAGTTAGAAAGTTAAAATTATTGTAAAAAAAAATTTATAACATAGATAAATTAAATATTTAGAAAATATCCATTTAAAAAAAATCTACACATTATATAATTATGAAAAAGTTTCCACTATGTATGAATGAAATCGAGTGATCTATTAATTAAATGATATCTGCTGTTTAAAAACTGAAAGTTGCACGTACTAGAAATTTCATTCAATGAAAATACGTATATATACCTAACAAATATTTAGTTTTGTACGGGTGTTATGAGGTCAGGTCGATTGAATTAACTTTTGCAATCAGCGGAGTTGTCGTAATAAATTCGGATACCAAAATCGAATTTAAAATTAGTTTCCCTTGCACACAGCCAGATGTTTCTTTCATATTAACATTTTGCAATTTACTTTCATGATTAGCTGCAATACCCAAAATCACGTAAAATTTTGCAACTACAATGGATGTCGCTACCTTGTTACTCGCTTATTAGCAAAAATTAGCTGTAATATAAAGACGAAATTGAAGTTTCAATAGATTGGTAACGATAATTTGCAGGCTGGTTAATAATAGAAAATTTTAATCACATGTATTACTCGAAACTGTGTAATTTGCGGTTTTTATTATTCAATTAATTCATTGTTACAATTCTTTGGGAAAATCTGTTAAGATTAAAATTAAAATTTTCAAGGATTTTTGCGAAATATATATATATATACATATATTACATTAATTAAAATCTATATTTTTAAAGATGATTTCAATATTTCTTCTTATAAAAGTACTGAATAAAATATATAAATTTATCGATTAAATTTTGTACCCAATATAGAATTAAAATATTAAATCTGATATTCCAAGATTTATACATTTTTATCGTATTTATTAAATTCTTGTTAATCAATAAATTCCAGATTATTTGATAAAATATGTGAAACATTTTAAACTTGATAATAATTTGATAAAATATTTACAGATTGAATTAAAATAATATTGAAACTTCTCGAAGTGTATACAAATTTCTTATCCAAATTTACATTATAATTTCAACAGTGTATCACGATTGGAAATTGTTCACGATCACGGTAGAAAGTGAAATTTTTGTGGCACGATTAATCGATGCAATATAATTAATTACATGAAACCGAAACCGGAAGTTTATTCTAGCGTAAATTCGCCCGATCCCCGCTCGTTACGAGTATTATGAAAATGATACCAAAGCAGACGTGCCGTATCTTCGGTGCAGCTGATGTTAATTAACGATACACCGACTCCTCGTGTAGAAATCTTGTTTGGTCTTTAAGCACTACCGAGTTAACACAGTTCCTTGACACTTTCGAAACTGATTTAACGACCACGGTGCAATAACCATTCAAGTTTAAACGCCAATCAATTATCTGTTCAAAAACATCAAAAACTCGTATATCGTATCCCTCTATCCAAATTTATTTCTCGTCAATTGCAAAAATTATTATTTACAAATTTTTTTAAACAATTTTCATTATTTTAAAATTATTTGTTATTCGAAAATAACTCCTTAATATATCCCCTTATTATTATTGCTTCTGACTTTAACTTATTAACTTACTATGATTATTACTATAATTGATTATTCTAAAACTAAAAAACTTTCTCCGATAATTAATTCTTTAATACCTCGTCTCAAGATACTGTTTATATTCTCAATAATTATATATATAAAATTATTCAAAAATTAATAATAAATTTCACCTGTCTTCTGGAAAGAATATAATTGTCCCATTACTTCAAATTGCATTCAAAAAACGTTAATCCATTTTTTACGGTTCACCCTGTCATCGATCGAACGGGAATCCATCAATTGGATTCGTAATCGAATCGCAACGGCCATCCATCGAATTTCCACAGGAATTACGAGAATCGCGGTGAATTCAAGCGTCAACCCTCCTCGTATCAGGTGTTCGAAGATAGAGGATTTTCACGCGACGAACGCAATCCTTGGGCGTCGCTTCGTTTGAGAAACTGCCTTCGCTCCTGCTGGCAACTTTGTCCCCGGTTCCCTTACCTGAGCGCAGATTTACGAGGCCGCGTTACGTTCGCCAAGAAGAACGGATGAATAATGGCGCACCTGGCCCGACCCAACCGTTGCCGGGTATTATTCGCGGTTTGCCAGAGAAATTATCGAGTTACGTGTTTAATTGTGTAGCTTCTATCCGACCGGCAGATATTGTTCCTTCCCTTTTATTCGATTTTCTTTTCTTTTTTTCCACAATTCGAGTTGTTCCAATCGTAACTTCATTCCCTGGACCCCTTTTTCTTCGACGACCTTCCCGAATTTTCGCGATTCCTCGATTAAGAAACTTTCGAGAGAGGGAGAGAGAGGGATCTTCGAGATGATTTAAATCGAGAAATTTGTTTGGAGATTGAAGATATTTTCTGATTCTGATCTTCGATGAGGAATGTTTTGGGAAGAATATGCTTTGCGCGTTCGATGGAGCGAAGCGAATTTATCACGGTGAATTATAGAGTTCCTGTTTTCGTGGATGGAAAAATCGTTGAAATAAATATTTTCTCTTGAAGAAAAATTCTAAGGTTTTAACAATTGTGATTTGGTGAATCGAACTATTATAACAATTAAACTAATGGATTATAGTAATTGTTCGAGAATAGTAAGTTTTAATTAAGAATAGAAAAAAATTATGTATTGAATGATAAAAGTATTTAATTTCCATTGGAGGAAATTATTAGATTTTCTCGTTCTGCTCGTGAAACATTCATAATCAATAATCGAAGTCAGTCCAAGTGTCCATCCATTATGGATATTTCAATGAAAACACGGTCGGTCCAAGGAAACGTCTGCTACGTTTGAAAAATCCTACCACCGTTGCGGTAATAAATCGTGGGATTTGATAATACTTGGACGAGAAATCGATATATCCCATAAGCGTCTTGTCTTTGCCCAGAGAAGATATATCGTTCAACGATTGCCAAAAGTTGTCAAACTTTTCCACTTAAAAATTACGCGATGATTGTCAATGATTATCGCTCCAAAAATGCAACGAATATTCCTCGTTTCTCTAGAAATAAATATTCGATACTAATTCTAATACTTTGTCGATAGAAAAAAGAAATAATTTCCTCGTCGAGAAATTTAATCGTCTCCAATCAAATTCCTATTATCACTATTATCATGTCGATTTATTCGAAACAGGGAAGATTAAAATTATTTCAACGAACGTAAAATCCTTACACGAATTGAAATATATTCTTGAAATTCGATGGAACGGGAGTGGCAAACAAGATCAAACAGCTTTCTTGAGGCATTCCAGTTTACAAGCGATAAAAATGCTTGTAATGCTTAAATCTTCACCCTCATGGTTGGAATGGTAATGGAATGGTTCGTTTTAAAATCTCTGCGTGGCTCCCGTTCAACTTTACAAAGGGTTTGCCGGCAACTTCGGTTTCGTTCAATTGCTCCAGTTGGCCGGCCAAGAATTACGTGGAAAGTATTTTTGGCCGCCTGCACCATACACCCGGTTGATCCACGCCAAATACTTGTCACGTATATCGGGTCTTAATCTCCTTTAAGTTTCCGTTAGAAACTCCGTGGCGCGGGCTTAAGGGATACATACAAGTTTTTTGGCTAACAGTCTTGGAATAAACAAGCGAGAAATGGATGGATGAGGATGGTTCGCTTAATATCATGGAAAAAGAAAGAAGAACCGATTTTTAATTTCTAATAATTTATTTTAGATCTTACAACGTAATATTGGAGAAGAAAAAAAAAAAAAAGGTGTGGAAGATTAAAATAAGATTGTGTAATTCAAAGTTGATTCGTAAAAGAACGGAGAAGTAAGAAAATGGTACTTTTCGTCGTTTCCTTTCAAGAGGTCGCGCCTTGAAATATGCATATTTGAAGACGGTTCCTGAATTTCAGAGCAAAAATTTTTCATTCCCTTTTCCGGTGGGTTAGCCACGTTTTCAAAAAGACCTCTTGAAATTTTACGATAAGACGACTGCAAAAAATATATCCTGAAAAATGGTGAAATAATGTTTTAATATAAAGGAAATAAGATGAATAATAAAAAAAAATCTTAATAATTTTATCATACTGATGTTGTATTAAAAGAAAAAATAGATATATTTTCTTCAAACATTTGTCGAATATTTCTCTTCATTTTAACAAAGTAATTGTTAAAATCAAGATCGATCATTAAACTGGAATCTCATACGTGTAACATATTGATCCATGTAATGATCCTCCAAACTTTTTGCCAATCCATCGTTACTAATCTTTCAACCATTACTGGTTCAAACTCAACTTCCATACTATCTTTATAACCTTCGTTCAAAAATTATCCTCTAGTTCAGTAGTTACACTCTTTTACGTATTACAACAATCCAGAAAGTTTCATCGTTTCTCATCCCATGATAATCTTCGATATAAGTACGCTTGAAAATTTCTTTTTCTTTTGTTTAACAACGAAACACGTCCCGCAAATTGATCTCGAATTGGTAAAATTGGTATTAGACGAATCGAAGAATTGTTCCAAATAATCTTTTTCCCTAGTTTCATTCGTCGATTCGTTCTCTTCATCGCTGCAAAATGAGACCGATTTCTATTCCTCTCAACGAGTTCTTCTTTTCCAGACATTTTTATCCGTATAAAAAGTACCAAGACGTTCCACTTAACTCCTTTTTTAATTCTTTTTAATTAATTCGATTTTCGATCATCCATGATTACCATCCTCCGCTTCAATTAACCTGAAATTTTGAAAATCAAGATAAATATATAGGAAAAGAAACAAAAAAGTACGATTTTTCATCGAAAATATATTTTTGGAATTATTGAATGTAAATTCTTAATCAATGATAATCTTCGATATTAAAAACTCGTATGATCGTTTTATTTTTCACGACGTTCACACGCGTATGCAAATTGAGATATCAAAGTTGTATTTGTTCGAGTTGAAACTGGGTTGCAAATAAGAAAACTTATTTTTCTCGACTTCTCGAGCATTGTGCGGTTGTTTTACAAATTTTTTCCACGAGTTTACGAACCAGACCATTGTTTTGTACATTCTTTATTTACACTGACTTTTAATAGATTTCCACGATTCTGATTCTCAATTCTTTTATTTTCTTTCAGTATAATAATTCCAATTAAAAAAGACTGAGATAGATTATGTCAATTTTCTCGACACAGGTCGAATTACGAGATATTTCTCAAAGTCGTATTTCTTTTTAATGAATGTTCCATTTTATATTTCTGTTGTTTTGAAAAACAACTTGATTATACATCTCGATCTTATAATTGTAAATGTATATCACGAATTCAATCTATTTCAAAATAAAAATTTCCACTTCGCTCTTTCACCCGTAGGATTTAAAACTCAATTTTCTATCTCATCTCTGTCAACGTCGAAACGCTCGAAGCACAAGTCAACAATGTCAGTTTCAGCATCAAAGAGGCCAACACACCGTAGAATCGCCATTCTGTTACGTTGCATTGTGGCCACGTTACACAAGGCGCTATCCATGCTATTGATACGATATAGATCAAGTGGATGATCATGGAAGATCTCGAATCAATTTCAAGAGTTTCAAGCAACTTGATGCAACGATAGCCATCAACTATCTAACTTTAGATAGTGCTTGTGTTAGTCAATTTGATTGCCAATTCTTTATTAATAAAACTTAGTATTATAATTTATACACGCTTGATATAAAAGAGTAACAAGAACACTTCTTTCTGATTTCTGAAAAAAAAGAGAAAGAATTAAAAAATTTGGAAAATCATTCAATCATTATAAAAATTTAGGAATTTTTTTTATAGAAAAATTTTCTAATAGAATTATAAACAAATAACCTTTCAACATCGTTTTATATCCCCAATTTCCAATATGTATAAAATACTTTTTCTCGTTCTCCAATAAGTGGTAGATTATAACACATCAACTAAAACGTGATGGAGTAGAAATAATCGATTCGAGAAAGGAAATTCATTTAATTGATATTATATTTCTTGGAAATCGATATGGGTCTTGCATCCTTATAGATATTACAACAGTCTTGTTGGTTGGAATTGCACTAACCATGACTGTTACGCGAAATTAACCTATCGCCCAGAGAACATTGAAACCATATTCTATTTCGTGGCAATTGGTTATGCTTGCGAATGTTACAAGATCGTACTATCTTCTCATGTATCTTATCGTTCATCTTGTAGATCGCATAAACGATGGATCCATTCTGCGCGAACACGTTCCTTAATGATGTTGAAGATTTTCAAAGAGCGTCGATGGACAGAAAATTTGTGTTAAATTTTGTGTTACATATTTTGGAATTTTAATTCTTAAGGGAGAAGTTGCTATTCACAATCTAAGCTCGAAATTCATTATTTAATTTGATAGATTATATAAATGTCGAGAATATTTGGTTTTTTAATAACCATAAATAATGTAACGCCAATCCAGAGATGCATTTATGCTAAAGATTTTGTTAGATATTTATTTGATTTATAAAATAATATATCACCTAAATTATCAATCTTAAAATATTTTTAAATGATTGAGGAATTTATTATTGTCTTTTATTATTCAGAATATACATTTGCAGATAATAGTAAAATTTAAAAATACCTATTATAAATATTAATTAAAATTAATAGTTTTAATGGAGTTTAAAAATTCTCCTAATAGCACGTAAATTATCTTCATTGCGGAATTTTATTATATATTATCTTATTAATAACAATACACGAATTTTTACCAGTAAATTAATTCTTTTTTAAAAATTACTTCATTTGATGAATATTTATCATTATATCAGACTCTCTCTCCTTTTATTTACTCCTTTAGATAAAAGTTCATTTAATCATTGAATATAATAAAATTCTAATCTCTCTTTATATATATATTACTATAATTCGATCATTCTCTCAATTTCTCTCTCCCTTCATTTTTTCCCTTTTTCTTTTCTGGTATCTTTTCACAAGTTGACACATATCCAACCGCTCGTTTCCAGTTCGTCCTTTAGACAGGACCAGACGTATCGATTTCGATCGATCGTCTCTGTAATCCAACGCATCGTGTACATACCGTCGAACGAAATTTATTTATACCATCACGCACTTTAGAGCGTGCACCGATCGAAGTTGATCGAGCTTTCGATACCGATGATTGGAATTACAGGGCGATCGATTCCTCGAAACTGCTAAACAAAGCTTAATGTAACGCCACCTGGTAAACTCTTTAGCCGGCGCAGGGACGCCAGTTAACTCTTCTCATGCACGGTGAAACGGTATTTCAAGTGCAAGCCATTAAGCCCTCAACACTGGCGGATAGTGATTAGGTCCAGGGGCTAAATCCTTGTGTCGGTGTTGGTGTTCAGTGAATTTAATCACGCCGCTCTCACGACAATGCTGCATATTCCTGCCGTCAGGCTACAAAGATAATTGCGCTTCCCGCATTAATTAGGTATTCACCGTTCCTTCATTTGCTCGAGCTTCGTTTCTCCTTCGCCTTTGCTGAACATGCCACGATTTATCACTTTAAATTTCATCACTTATCGCCCTATTACCGATTATACGCGAATACGGGCTTAAGAATCCTGCTGCCTTGGAAGCAGCAACAAGTTGCGTGCGAGCGTATAATTGAGAATAGTAGCACATTTATTTTTTTAGAAGAGGAGAACTTGAAAATTTCTGATCGCTATCAACATTTAGCAACAAGTATTCGATCCTCTTTTTAAAGTAGAATCATTTTTCTAAAAGATTTTGTTTCTTTATTTATATCGAATATCGATTATTATGAACAGGCAACAAGTAATCGAAAAATGTAAAAACTTAATTAATTTTAAAGATCGAATACTTCCATTGAATAATGCATTTATCTTTGGCTACTGAATGATTAAAGATATCTATATACTCGGTTATGAAAATGAAATTAAAAAGGAAAACTCAAAGATCTCTTATCATTATCAACTGTTAAGACTACATTATCCAGGTATCGATAAAAATTCCAAATTTTTCGTCCCCGTTTCATTTAACCATCCAAACCGTCCTCTCTACCTCATCATCAATCAATTATAAAAACTTGGCGACACGCGAGAAGATTTACTCCCATCAAAAACGCTGTATCACGGTAAAAATGTGGGCGCGCGACGATTTAGAGGGAAACATTGTGGACAGGCCATTGACGGTGGTAAACATTCATTAAATTTATCTGTGACCGCGTAATTTATATGACCGCGTTGCGGTAATTAACGTGCACCAGTGGATCATGGATCCGTGTACGTGATTCCCGTGACACGCGCGTAAAAACGTGGGGGACACGCGCCATTCCGTGAACGATTTTCATAATTCTATTAAGCATCTGCACAACATCGCGTGAAAATTTCATTCTCACCGTTTTCGGATATGACGCGAATTGTGCGCGATTATGGAATCGCGAAACGTACTTAACCGTGTTACATCATGGGAGCCGTATGCAGTAATGAAGTGCGAAGCGTAAAATCTTTTATGGAAATATCTGGGCATGTAAATGGGTTTCAATTACACTGATAAATGAAAATGAGGAAGAGCGTGCAAAGCTTTTCTTCTTTTTTTTTTTTTTTGTGACTCGTTAAAAACGCGTGATTTATAAACATTATATATTTTTTTTACGTGGAATAAGAGTGCATTAAGAGAAGAATTGTGAATGGAAATAACGGAGGATGGAATGTAAATTAAAATAGATTTTTCGTGTTAGATGTTTCGCGTTTTTATATTTATTTATTTATTTTTTTAGTCTGGCCTGATGCGAAGTGAGATAATAGAGAATGGAAGGGAAAATAAAATGCAATTATTCTGCGGTGTTTGAAACACGAAATACGAAATCAATGTGGATTTAATAGAGATAATCTCGTTCGTAATTGTTCTTCTCTAAGTACATTTTTTTAAAGGAAACCTTTATATCGAATTATTATTCGGATTTTCCCGCCGATATAATTATTCTTACAGTGACAGCGTTATTTTAAGAATAAAATTAATGGCGGCGTTTTTTCATTCGAAAATATCACGGCCCATTGAACGATATTGAGATAAAGAGGTAGTCGATCATCGTGCCAGCCGGATCGTTAGAAAACAATCTACCGGCTTGTATGAACCGAAAAGCATTAATCATTTCCTGTCGCCCTGAAATTATTCGATCGATTAAATTCGTTCTAGTTCACGCATAGGTAGAATGCATAAAGCTTATTTTTTTATCTAAGGGAAGAAAACAGAAACGATGAAAACTGCTTTTATGAAATTGGAAAAAAAAAAAAAAAGAAAAGAGAAAACTGAGAGAGAAAGATAAATCCGACATACGTATGATGTTACGAGGATCTTAAATATTTTAGAGATACAACAGGAAGTAAATCGATAAAACGATCGTGTAAAAAAAAAAGAAAAAAAAAAAAAAGAGGAAGAAGAAGGTTCCTAAAAAGAGGGTTTCTAAAAAGAGGGCTCCGTAAAGAAAAAAAATCTAAAAGCACACACACCCTCGGGGTGAAAAACACGAGATAATGCAACGACCCTGAACAAACGAGAGCAGCACGTGGATTTAAGCAACGTAATTAGATGTTTCAGTATACACGTTTAAAAACACATAGTCACGTACGCGATACATAGCAATAAAAACTGTTTGGCATGTGGAGGAAGTGGTGGTTTTTGTCCTTTACGTGTATGTCGTGGTTCGTTAAACGATTAATTATACACGATTTAATTAAGAGAATC